TTGCGTTCCTTTCAAACTTCAAATTGACACTTGATCCGCCAATACTTTTGGAAAAGATTTATTTAATTCTGTGGAATAGCTTTTGCTTAAAGTCGTCTGATTATTGCTTATGGAAATCTGGCATTTTTCAATTTCTTACTCGATCAATAAATTATTATTATTATTATTATTATAAATTTAGCCAAAGAATAAGTTCTAAGACTAAAGTCTTAAAACACTAGCATCTAATAATAAGAAGAATAAATTCTAAGACTAAATTCTTAAAGTACTAGCATCTAAGGCTTTCGGTTTCATTAAAAACTCTATCGCACTTAAGATTTGAACTCGCGACCATTGACACTGAAGAAGCTGAAGAAGACTAAGTAAAGGGATTAACTGATGTAAATCGATGAATAACGATTCGTAAGATCGCTGAGAGATTACATTCATCGAATTCGATCGTTCATAACAATATCTTCAACCAACATAAAAAAAGTCGTCTTACTTTTTGACTAAAAAAAAAACAACAAAAAAAACGAAATGACTTTCCGGACACCTAATAATTTGTTAATCTTTGACTCGTTACGCGTACTATATGTAAAAATTTTTTATATATAAATATTTTTTTTTTAGTTTACAAAGATTTTCTCTTAATTGAAAAAAAAAATTCTTTACTTTACAAAAATTGAAAAATAAATTTATTTAAAATTAATAAAATATTTATGTAAACCTGAAACAATTTTTGCAAAAAAAAAAAAAATATCTTCTTTTACACCGTTAAACGCCTTAAACCCTTTAAGTTTATTTTGTGAATTTAAAATTGATTTTTTTTTTTGTTTTTGTTAGGTTAAAGAAAACTTTTTTCATTTAATCACCATTTGATTTTTTTTTTTTTTTAATTTTTTTCCAAATAGAAGATGTTGCCCTACTTACTATTTCTTTAAGATTTTTATTTGTTTTGTTTTCGTTTTGTTTCGGTTTAGCTTTTGTATGTGATTTAAACTCCATTTTAAAATAAAAAGATACATATATATATATATAGATCGCGTGAAAACCGCTCTCTATCAATTTTCATGATAAAGTGTGCACGATTTATATGTCTGTACATGCAGATGTATGTGTGAGAAAGAAAGGGCAAAGTTACAGTTATAGTCGTCTATAGGTATTGAAAGTTGAAAATAGAATGCACGTTTTACGGACCTCTCTAACGTTCACCTATGAATTGTCTCTATAAGAGACGTATAAGCAAACGGCAGAATTTTGAATAAATATGGGCCGCTAATTATGCCAACATGGCGTGTATTTAGAAAGATTTAAGTGTAAACGAGTGGCAATCATTATGCGGGTTTGGCTACTGATTGCATTCAAAGTACACAACGTACGTTTGTCCGCGTACCGAGCTAACGCATACCTACCTAACCGTGTATGCATGCGTATATGAAATGTTTGCATATTTTTATAACCTCACGCGTATATATATATATATATATATATGTATGTGTAATAAAATTAATGTAAAATAGAAAAAAAAGAAAAATAATAAATAAATAAATAAATAAAAATATTATAAGAGCAAGTTTAATGTGCAGTGGGTTGTGGGATAATTTTTTTATTTTTATTTTTTTTTTTCATTTTCAAAACTCTAAATATAAATTTTAGATAGCAAACGCATATAAACTCTCAAGCGTAAAATGCGTGCATGTAACACATGTTAACTATTGATTCATTGCATTAAAAATATTCCCGCTTGGTATTGGCCTTCTTCTCTTTGGCCTTTCTATATTAACCAAACAATTACGGGCTCGTTTTAAAAGTTTTTCATATGGGACGTTGTGGAAGATTGTGCAACCGAAAACGTGTGTGCATCGGACTCTAACCATCCAACAGGCGACGATGCCTTACATAAACTGAATATGATGATAAAAATGTTTTAAAATTTTCATGTTACCGTTGATGTTGATACATGCATATATAAATTTATTATCATATACATATATATATATATATATATATATATATATATTGGATAAATCTGTGTAATATTGTCGCTGTACATAAATATGTTATGCATGTTTATCAGATTGTATATATTTTATATATATAATAATTAGGCTTAATTAATAGACCATTCGGAAATTATTAATTAGTTTTTATAAGCGCGCGGTACTCTTTAAATGGCGAATATTGATTTTGTGGCGGCTTTATTAATGCTATTGGCTTAAACATTTCTACCTCCTTTAATTATGTGGTTTTTTTTACCAACACAACACAACACAACAAAACACAACACAACGCAACACAACACTTCGTAACATAGCACACCGTAACATAACGTAACAAAACAAAAACGGGCACATTTTGTTATGTCTATATCGTCGTATATACGTATATGAATGTTTTGCAATGTATATGCGTAAGAGTATGAATGGCATACACAATAAATGGCAGCGTGCGTGTATTCTACGTTTAACTAAAATGCATGTGTGTTGATGCATTTTTAGCCATATTTTGTTAAATGTTGTGATTTTTACATTCAGGCATTTTTACATAAACATGTTGTTGTTGCAAAATTTACATTTATCGCTATGATGGGTATGCGTTGTTTATAACGCTTGCATGTATCGACTGCACGACTGCAATACTGTACAATATGTGCGTGTGCATATGCGTAAATACACTTTCATTGCACGGTTGTCATTTAAAAATGTGAAAATAATATAATATATATAACTTTTACTTATTTTCTATATATGCATATACATATAAATACATACATACATACATACATATACGTATGTTCTTGTAATTAAGTCGTACGGGACGGCTTAATAAAATATTTAAACGTCATTATAAATTTATGTTTGTGAATAAATTTTGATTTTCATTTTTATATTTCATAAAAATATTTAATTAATTATAAGCCATAGGAGAAAAGCGAAAATTTTCCAAGAAATTATTCATTCATTCATTCATTCATTCATTCATATGTATGCATTAACCATCATCATTTCGTGATATACATATAATTAAATCGTATATTCGGCTAAGACCGAATTGAGAATAGTCACCACACGAAAACGATAAACCGCATTTCAAGATTTTGAAACAGTGGATATGAAACTTCTTAATAAAAAAAAAAAAAAAAAAAAAAAAAAAAAAAAAAAAAAAACGTTAAAAAAAAAGAGTCCAACAAGAAAGAAGAGAGAGAGTTCAGTGAAACGATTACAATAAACACAAACATGAGATCAGAAAAAGATCAAAAGTTATTCTTAAAAATTATTTCTAGAAGGAAATCGTCAATCGGTTCAAGTCTTTCCTTGCCAATACAGCGCTACTGTGATCAGCCGGTGGTTCGTAAAACGACAATCCCGGTTAACATAGCATTAAAATGCAACTGAAAAATGTGTTCAGGTATACTCGGGTTGTAACAAAACGGATAAATAAAATGGAATACAGCTCTTAACGGCTGGAAGACAATGCTAATCGAAATTTGTTTGCAAGCAATAATTTTTGTCTATTTTACGTGAGCTTTGCTTACGCCTCGCTTACCAGTCATAAAGAATTGCTTAAGAGGATCAAAAAAAAAAAAAAACCAACTTTTGACAATCTATCAGCTTGGACGGATATGGTCGATATATTGTATTTTTCTGCAGTCAGTGTGTACTCATCGATTGAATAGACGATACGAGAGATGGCAGAAAATAACATGAACATCTTATGTATATAAAAAATTACATTTTTAATAAGACCCTCGGCCAACAGTTTTTTGTAGAGAGGCAGAATATTTTCGCAGAATAGATTCGTAGAGTGTCCGAATAGCTCCCAACAGCTTTAATCTATCCCGCAAAACGACCACCGAAAATTGCCCTCTTTCGATGCCTGAGACATCACATATTTCGTTGATTTACCCGGAAGCGGTGTTGCCAACATGGCACAAACGAATACTTCATGGCGTAGGGATTTATGTTTATTTGGTCTATCCGCTGTACGTATTTGTTGTAGCGTAGCAGAAGTAATGCAAAGGAGGGAGACTATCAATTTATTTTGTACTGTGAACGTTTGAGTTTAGAGAAAGCGACAGATGGACGTCCCTAGTTCGGCTAAGAACTTGAGATTGATTGAAGCATACGTAGGCTCTCTAAAGGTTCCTTTTTGGGTGTTGCAAACGTTTCAGTAATATGCTCATCTTTAGGTGGGTAGTAATAAACATATAAGTCATGCATCGAAGCGATTACAAAAACTTTTTAATCTCCACAGGCGGTGCATAAAATTTATGAAAAGTATATGTGCATTACTTTTGTACACGCACACATGGCGCATATGAAAGTTTTGGTTCTTTTTAAAAAAAAACTTGTCTATGCTCTCTTTTTGTGCGATCGTTCAAATCGCTTTAAATGCTCAGCATAACCTTCGTGGACATACATTCATAAATGTGGTCATAATCAATCATCTATTTTCCTAGTACTTCCTCTCTATTACTTTCCTACTAATGGATTATCGATATGTAAAAAAGGCAAGTAATGCGTATGCTCGAGAAAGGCTCGCAGATAAAAATCAGTTCACATAGATGGTTTTGAGTTGGATTCTTCCCTATCATTTATTTAGCTCCTTGAGATTATTGCGGTTTCTTGTTTTGTAAACTTTGTACCGCTTGATTCTTGCCCTGCTCTTCCCTGCAAGGCCAGCTTTGGGAAATACAAATGCAAATTTATTTATTTTATTCTCTAAGTCCAAGCATATCAGATAAGCAGAAATTGGGATTAGGTAGAGAAATCACTTCAACTCATCGATAATGTTGTTCTGAAATAGATGCAAAATAAGTAGAAGGCAACTTGGCTTGGACGTTCGTTCAAATAAATTTTCTTATATGAAAAAATGAACAGATGAACTGACGAACGAAATGCTTTCCTTTTCTGAATCGATAATAATCGTGGTGGTGGATATTCTAGAATTTTAGCTACAATAAAAATTATATTATCCTTCACATATAACGCATGCAGATGTGTCACAATTTGGTTTAGGTGCCGGTAATACTCATTGGGGTTATGGTTCGGCTAGTGCTTATTCACCGTATTTAGCTGGTAGCGGTTTATCGTCATGCACTACCCCAACTTCGGCTCAATTTAATAATCCTGCTTTGGGCTTCACTTGTTCCTCCAATGATCAAACTAACAATCAAGATTTTACCGGTGGTGGTAGCTCACAAAGAGATTGCGTACCGAGTAAGTAATAAATACAATTAATTTCTTATTAGGAATTTTTCTATTCCAAATAACACTTTAAATAGTGTTACCGGACTCGACGGCTACGGATTTAGATCAGCATTTAAGTAATCTGGTGGGCTCAACCACGGGTCAAATGACACATCACAGTTTACTCGGTTCTAGTGGACAAACGTCAATTTCATCAACGGTAAATGGTGGCAGTACTGGAGCAGGTACCAATTCTATATTGGTACCACGCTATCACACCAACTCGAACAATGATTATAATGTGCACTCAAGTCAAACTGGTCCGCGTAGTTTGAGCGATTCGTCACAGGCCGAATCACCGGTACAGGAGGATTTACTATCTACTAATACACCAAATTTGGGTGGCACCAATGGCAATAGTGCCACTAACGGTACAGGTAATAGTAATGGTGCTGGCTCCACAGGATCGGCTAATAACAACTCGTTAGTGGGTGCAAATCAAAACTTCAGTGGTATCGTTAATCAAACGCAAAACGCTGCGGCAGCCTATGGAAGTGGTGCGGGTGCCGGAGTAGGCGGCGTAAGCGGCGGTCATGCCGGAACGACCGGAGCTGGATGTAATGGTTCTTTATATCCTGTTTTGCCAGCGAGCTTACTATACTCCCAATTGTATACTGCCGCCAATCAGTCACACAGTTTTCATTCACATGCTTTACCCTCACACACATCGCCAAATTCAACGGTACACGGTGAACTGCAGAGTGTCATGGATCACATTAGTAACGTCGGTGTTAGGCAACAGCATAACATTATGTCCGGCGGTGGAGTGACACATCATGGCGATCTCACTTTATTGGGTAATTGTGGTGCTTCCGTACGTAATATCGAGGATGGCAACACTAATAGGCAAGTAGCCGCTTTGGCAGTGCATCGCGGTCATCACAATCCAACTGATAATGGGGGCAGTGTTTGGCGACCATATTGAGGTCAGGTGTTATGGTGCGGCTCGGCTGTCCTCTAGTCTTATAAGACAGAAGCCTCAGAGGCTACTATCACTCCTGAGGAAACAGAGAGCAAGCACTTTACTGAATAATTACAAGATGGAAAGCGTCTCAAATGAAGTAAAAGAGAATAACGATGATGAAATGACTCTAAAATATACATATATATATATATATATATATATATGTATACAAATATAATATATATATATTATATTTGTGTTATATATATATATATATATATATATATCTATATAAAATAATATTCGTCGAGAGTAGCACTCGTTTGAAAACAGTGTAAATAAAACTTTTGTAAATAAATGTAAACTTTTTTTATCAAAGGAAAATTTAGTAAAATTATTGGAAATGGAAACTCGTAGTTAATTTATTGAAAGTGTAGACGAAAGCATTAAAAACTCAATTTCTTCTAAATAAGTGTTGATAAATGTTAAATAAGAAAACAATAAAAAAAAAAGTAAAAAAATTAAAATTAAAAAAAAAAAAAACCCTACACATCCTACATACATAGAGAGCGCATCTAAGTTCCTAAACCAAAGATTATGTTTCTTTCTTTCAAATTTTGTACATTATTATATAATTTTTGTAAATCTCTTGTAAATAACTATTAAAATAAATAAATTTCTATATGTGCAATTTTGTTATAAAAAATAAATAAATAAAAACCAAAAAAAAATATCTAATGTAATCAGTATTTAAATACACTTAGTGGCAATTTCTTGTATATGATGAAATTTTTCAAACTGATTTCATTCATACAAAAAAAAAAAACAAAAAACAAATAAAATAATATACAATAAATAAAAAATAAAAAGAGAAAAATTTAAATCTTAAAATAATAGTTAATGTACTTGTGCATAGTCTCGTTTACTTTTACTTACTTCCCATCAGCATTCATTTCACGGTGCATCCATAATAGGATAACATACCCAACAACATAATCCTAAATAATCTTATAGAAAAAAAAAAAAAAAAAAAAAAAATTAATAAATAAATAAACATTAATGAATAAATAAATAAATAAATAAAATATAAAAAATGAAAGATTTACAAAAATAACAAAGGAAGACATGAAATTAGTGAAAAAGTGAAGTAAAACTAGATTCGTCTTTGGGCGAATTTTGGATATCCACCACCCGCCCATATTAAAAGCATTATTGTGCAGAATACAAGAATGTGATCGGTCACTAAGAGAGAACAATGAGAGAACAATGTGCTTTCTTATTATAATTTTTATGACTTTGTAACAAGCTTGATATTCCGGACGACTGTTTCACATAGACAACAAAACACTTCAACATTTGACTTAACTATAAAACAAATTGTTAACCCATGCAAACTACCAACAATAAAATGCCCTTTGAGTGGTGCTCTCGCCATGATGTTGCTCACAATATCAGCTATGCGTCTAATGCGTCATTAGTTATGTGCCAATGACATTTCATTATCATGACGTTCAATAAAGTGGGAGTAAGATTTTCAGCTAATTGTCGTTATTAGTATTATGGTTATTGTTATTATTACTATTATTATTATTATTATTGTTAGGTACATTTCCCATCAAATTTCGATTTTCCTAAAACCCTATGTCGGTGAGTTACGATCCTAGACTTTACATTCGTGCATTCCTAAGTGTATGCCCAACATAAGACTTCGAGATTGGACGGGATTTTCTTTTATTTAAGCCATGGAGCCGAAAACGGATTTGCTCACTGACAAGTACTTCGATATTACGAGGTTTTCTATCTTTAACTCGAATTGATTATAATAAACGTTTCATTTCATTTTTAGTTTCCCATCCATAGCGATCCAAACTTTTGCCATTAAATATTTTATTTTTTAGCAAGAAATGCATAATTCCTTAGAATGATAATCATTCGTGTACTGTATGACACATTTGTGCGACGCATAAGTACGAGAAATTTAGAATTCCTCAAAGCGAATTTTTGCATAAAACATTCAGTTACCAGACTTGGCCAAATGATTACAATGATTGCTGATTATCAGAAATTTGATGAAAAATGTGTGTGCGCGCTTTTGTCGCCAAATCAACGGACCGTAGAAAGAACCGTCAGGCAAACATTGCAATAAAAATTCAAAAGTAGCAGAGGAAACTGTAGTCTGCCCTTTTTAGTAATCCATCGAATCTGTGTCAGAATGTTCGCTTATATGGTATTAACATATCCCGCAACTATGAGCCATTCAAAGCCATCAAATGCAATACAATCTTGGACTTTTTCAATTTAAATAAGATTAGGGGTCGTAAGGCGGGGGCCACGACTCTCTCTCTAGCATCTCTGCCTCTCAAAACTTTTCCTTTAACTTTATATTTAAGATCTTGTTTTAGATTATCACTTAGGCGAGCGAACCTTTAAATCTAATTCGTATTGAATAGCGAGAGGAGCGAGTTGTTGTTAAACAATTTTATCTCGTAAAAATGATCAAAGAAATTAAAAATCGTAAAGCACAGCGCAGCGCTAGCAAAACGACATCACAGTCCTCGAGCAGTAAGTACGCGGACAAAATTTTTGATCTGTTTTGGGTGGTGGGTAGGACTAAAAGTATCCTGAAGAGAAATTAATGTAACGTGTAATTTTTACACTAACAAAGCGAAAAATAATTAATGACTATTTATTATTTATGTGTAGTATACCGAGATATAATAAAACACATTAATAAAATGAATTAAATAATAAAATAATAATGATATAGAAATATGAAAGATCTATAAAAATAAAACAATCGGAAAAGAATTCCAAAAACAAAACAAAAAAAGAAAAGAAAAGAAAAGAAAACAAAAAATTTCATTGTAACTTACATATAATGTAAAAAATGATAAAAATGGAAACAGAAAACATAAGTAAATAAAGAAATAAAAAGAAAATTATTAAATAATAATCGACTTTTATTCAAGAAACTTTATATTTGATAGTCTAAAGTCTAATCAAAGTGTAGAAAGAGAGAAAGAGAGAAGGAGAGAGAGAGAGAGAGAGAGAGAGAGGGAGAGAAAAGAACGGAAAATCGAAGAAGAAGTTCTGAGGAAAATTTTAGTACATTTTTTTTCTTTTTAGCACTACGCACTATCCTTGCAATTGAACTCTTCGCACGTTCGCTTTTACATTTTATGCTACACGTGTAAAAAACACAGTCCAGCAGAAATGAAAAGGAGCACAAGTCACGAGAAAGCAGTACCGAACAGTACACCCTACAGGCATATGCCAGATCGCCGTTAATGCAATGTAAAAGGCATCCGTTTCCCTTGACGTCAGGTAAGTTCCTATTAATACATACCATCACCATCTCTTACATTCGCCAAATTTATTAAAAAGCACTAGCGAAGAGGTTCGAAATATTCCAAAATGTATTCACTTAAACACTTTTACATCACAAAAATTTATCGGCGCCAACTAATTGCTCTCCTTTTTTATGTTTACATAAACTTTTATTCTGGGTTGAAGTTTGTAAAAGTATAGGCTCTGTACACTCTTCTCTCTTTTCAACGAACGTGGCAAAGGTACAGATGGTCGATAAAGGAAAAGAGAGAGAGAGAGAGAGAGAGAGAGGGAGAGAGAGAAAAGGGAAAGTTTTGTTTACTTTCCATGCGTTTGTGATCCTCCCTGCAATGTATTTAGCTATTAAATCCAAGTCCGTAGATCGATCACAGCAACCCATTACATCGAAAGAAATGGAACGAAAGTCTTTTGTCGTTTTGTTGAACGTATTTTGTCTTAGAAATTAATCTTAACAAGTCGTTTGAAAATTCTCCATTTAACAAATGGAATATCAAAGCTGCTATGATAGCGTACTTTGGGAAATTTCTTGAATCCATTCGTAACATTACATACGTATTCGGCTATCTTATATCCTTTCATAAGTTAAGAAGCATAAGCCCAAAAATTTTAATTATTATTTTTCTGGCTTTTTCGAATACATTTTTGAAACGCTCTAGTATGTAATGCATAAATGAATGGTTTACGATAAATTAATCGGACTTGAGTGCCTTCTTCTTGATTGAAAAGTTAACTTTTGCATACAACTTACCAATCCGCCTGAGTAACCGAATAGGTAAGAGTCACGACTGCCAAGTCAATCAGTGTCGTGGGCTGTGAAGTCTTAAGCGCGATAGAGTTTTCTTTACTCGTAGCTGTTTTGAGTGTTTAGTCGGTAGACGCATAACTCTTATCAATCGGGCTCACACAGCCACTAAGCTGCAGCCGCCACCTTCCTATTTCTTCCTCTTTTCGCTCTGCTTTTTCACAGTCACTGTACTACACGAATAGGAAACGTCCCCTGAGTGATTGTCCACATTAAAAAAATAAAAAAAATAAAAAAAATATTTTTCATTTATTACGGGCACCCGTACTTCTCCAGCCCTGGTCATGCAAATTAAAGGATATTTTATTTTTGGTTCTTCGTTTTCGCAAGCTACAGTTCAAACTGCCGAGCACCTTCATTCAAGAAAGCATCGTAATAATGGACTTGGTGTTGTCATATTTCAATATATTTCGAAACTCTCTAACATGTGCTCAATAGGTTAGTCGAATATAATTCATTTCTTACCTTCTATTTCATTCGGTAATTCAGAAAGCCCTTAAAGCGTTTCTGATTCGCGCGTTACTTATCGTTTTAAATGTAGATCCACTGATGACTCTATTCCAAATATCAAGTAATTTTCCTCTTTTACTTGGAAAAATCTTATCTTTTTCCTCACATTTCCTAGAGCTAGGTAAAAGTTGTTGAAGAAGTTGATCAAGAAACCGAACAGTAAAGCAGTTGTCATAAAGAAAACTAATCATTAAAGGGGAAAAAGATTATAATTTTGAATTTGAATAAAAAGCATGAAAAAAAAAAAAAAATTAAATAAATAAATAAATAAATTTTTGTCTCTTCTAAGTACATATAAGTACGGCATAAGCATTCTTTTAAGGAACACAAAATGTTCACGACTGTCGCATGGAGTTTATAACACCTACGGGAAGTAATTTTCTGCTCAATTTGCTCAGCACATTGTGGCAACCAATTAAGTTGAATCAAATACAATGATAAACTAACAATATATATATACAACACTACTTACTAACTCTAACCCACTCCCTCTCTCTCTCTCTCTCT